TTCAACTTCAGTTTATTATAAGCTGTATTAATAGCCTTTGCCAATATACAGAGCTCAGCTTACTGAACACTGTCCTAGAAGACCTTTATTATGAAATTATAAATTTCCTGGCCTATGTTAAACTTCCAAGCACTTATCTGTAGTTAGTAGATATGTAAGCATTTACAATTTTGGTGCAAAAGTCCTATAATTATTTTGACTTCTAGGGCACTTCTCATCTCAGTGACTTCTCATCTTAATTATCGTCTGTTTACACTATGCCATTTTCCTATCAGAAAAGACTATTCTACCTTAATACTGGCACAAGATTAGTCTTCCAGCTTCATTTAATGAACTCATACCCTTTAACATTTCTCCACTGAAGATAGAGATGTCTCATTCCATACAACTTTACTATATTTATACCCCACACATCTTACTGGGTTGCCACAGCCACCCTGGGCAGCTTTTTATTATATATAAAAACATAATAAAACTTTAAAAAAATCTTCCCTATACAGGATTGCCTTCAGACAGCTCAGGAGCCAAATAACTCCATACCCTCCAACATTTCTCCAATGAAAATAGGGACATCCTAAGGAAAAGTGGAACATTCCAGTATCAAATCAGAAACCGGGACCGCTTCTCTAAATCAGGGATGTCCCTGGAAAATAGGGACACTTGGAGGGTTTATGAACTCCTTGCTTTACTGTTCACCCTTTAGCATGTTAAACCTGTTATATGACTTCTTATGTTCAAGAAAGGCCTGAAAGACCATTCAGTTATTAATTAGACCTGCTATATAGAGGCTTCCAGTTACGCTCTGCTCCTTCCTCCATACTTTTTCTTAAATAGTTTTCATAAATGAGGCCAAATTGCCCTTCAGCCTCTCATTCTGGCAAATGGCATTTCCATTTACAAAACCACAAGCTACAGCCTGCTCTATAAGAGGGAAGGGCAAAGGGAGACAAGCAAACCTGGCAACCCAGCCCCACTTTCTTCTTAACTCAATCACCACCATCTTGTGAATTTTTCCACTCTCCCCACCGCTGCCCTCATCCCCACCCTCACCCCGGCTGCCTTCCCTAACAGCCCTTTAAGCTGAGGAACTGAATCTGAATTGGAAAAAATAATAACGAGAGCTTTGTTTTAAGCCTAGAATTTGGGTAAAGCCTTCAAGAGTGTGTGTCTGGTAGAGAGGGTTGGTTGTGGAATCACAGTTAGAGGAGGCTCAGTGCACCACAGAGAGGGACAGAAAGTCTGAGGGGGAAATGAAGCGAGGGTGATATTGAACTTTATATTTAAAACAGAATAGCTGTTACCAGTGCTTTTTTCCTGGAGGTACGCAGGGGTACACATACCCCTAAGCATTTGTCCTTTTGAATCTTTGTATTTTTGTCCATTTACTGTATTTATTTTCCCCAATTTGAACTATAAAATGGTGATATTGTTGAGTCAAAATGAGAGAACCTCTAAACATTTTTTAAAGAAAGAAAGCACTGGCTGCTACGGAACTTTAAATAGACAGTTATGTTAGATCAGAAAAGGGGAAAGATAAGAACCCTATACAGTCATGCTTCGGGTTGCGCGATTTCGGGTTGCGCACCGTGTTGAACCTGGAAGTATTGGAACGGTTACTTCCAGGTTTCGGCACTTGCGCATGCTCAGAAGTGCTAAATCACGCTTTGCACATGTGCAGAAGCGCCGAATCGCGACCCGCGTGTGTGCAGACGCGCGGGTCATGGGTTGCAAACACTGCGGGTTGCGAACGTGCGTCCCGCATGGATCATGTTCGCAACCCGAGCATCCACTGTATATAAAGACTACCGGTTGAAGATGCGTTGTCCCTTAATTAAAGATGAGTTTGTGGTTGAACTGTCGGTGTTCTGGGTGGATTCTTCAGTAAATATGGCTCACTCCATGTCTAAAGTGTAGATGCACTTGATTAATGTTGTACAAAGGGATTCCTGCTGCTCTCCATAAGTCAAACAGAAGATGACACTAGGTGTTTTGAGGAAAGTCTGTGCTCAGCAGAGTGTCTTAGTGATCACTTGGACTTAGGCCTCTGTGAGGAACCCTTGGCTCATTAACATGTAACCCTGAAATTTTGGATCCTCTCCAAAATTTTGGGGTTACACGCTAATGAAGCTCCTTGTCTTTAGGTTATGTTTTCTCCTTAACTACCAAACTGAACTTTTAACCTCCTGTGCAGTACGGATAAATGTTCTTATTGAAATATCTACAAGGGGTCACAATGTGTGTATGGCATTGACCACATAGCTGGAATGTATGTGTGCATGCAAGAAAGATAAAACTGAGAAAGCTTAAAAGGACTCCCTTCCTAACTGTGAAAACATTAGGAGAAATATGAATTTATTTCTTTATATCTCAGTACCCCTGCAGTGTAGGTATTCTGGCACTTTCCCAAAAGAATAAAGAAAAGAAAGAAAAGCAATTCGCTCTCCCTGGGGAGCGGACAAGACTGGGCACGTGCTTGATCTCTTAATTTCAAATGTACTCACTACAAATGAAAATAGTTAAATTACTGTAGATTTGCTTTCACCTCCAAGTCAGTATTATCTGGCTTCTTGCCCTTTCTGTGCTTTTAGCTATTTTAGAATATCAAGTTTTTATACTTGGTGGAATATGTCAATCAAACTGGGATGCCGAACTGTATCTCATTTCAAGAATGTAAGTGAGGCTGGAGACATATTGAGCATGATTTGTTCTTCTTAGTTGCCTTCCTCTGTGAAATAAGGGATGATGGGCAAATGTTGCAGACATTCCTAAACAAGAGCAAACATAATTATCAGCAAATGAAAGAAAGTCTAACCCAGTACAGCCAGCTCTTATTATAATTACTTGATGAGAGAGATTGATAAACAGCAGGATTGTAGGTAAATTAAAACTATAGGCATTCTGCTTTATGTAATATGAATTTCTAAAAGTTTTAATTTGCCTACGGTCCTGCTCTTTATCGATCTTACTCATCAAGTAATAAAAAGTTATATATTCTATTATAGTATAGCATCTAGATCAAGGGAAGTAATAGTGCCACTGTATTCTGCTCTGGTCAGACCTCACCTGGAGTACTGTGTCCAGTTCTGGGCACCACAGTTCAAGAAGGACACTGACAAACTGGAACGTGTCCAGAGGAGGGCAACCAAAATGGTCAAAGGCCTGGAAATGATGCCTTATGAGGAACGGCTAAGGGAGCTGGGCATGTTTAGCCTGGAGAAGAGGAGGTTAAGGGGTGATATGATAGCCATGTTCAAATATATAAAAGGATGTCACATAGAGGAGGGAGAAAGGCTGTTTTCTGCTGCTCCAGAGAAGCGGACACGGAGCAATGGATCCAAACTACAAGAAAGAAGATTCCACCTAAACATTAGGAAGAACTTCCTGACAGTAAGAGCTGTTCGACAGTGGAATTTGCTGCCAAGGAGTGTGGTGGAGTCTCCTTCTTTGGAGGTCTTTAAGCAGAGGCTTGACAACCATATGTCAGGAGTGCTCTGATGGTGTTTCCTGCTTGGCAGGGGGTTGGACTCGATGGCCCTTGTGGTCTCTTCCAACTCTATGATTCTATGATTCTATGATTCTATGATTCTATTGTTTTCTGCATTTTTATTGCACAATCAGAATTGATTTTGCAATGGGGTAAATAAAGTTTGAGTTTTAGAAAGTTAAAAGCTTTTTCAGTATGCTTGATGAGGACATTAAATTATGAAATGTTTCTTAAAAGTTGGGGTAGTGTTTGGCTGAATCTAGACATGTATAAATAACCCTGTGATAATTCTTTTTTTTAAAAAAACACGTTTACAAATATATATGGAATTTCTCATTAGCTCACCATTGCCATCTAGCGTCACTTTTGTATAACGTACTTAAAACACATTTAAAATGTTATATTTGCAGCTGTATAACTGAGTCCTTGGTCTGTTGCTAAGTTCCCAATATGGTACCTGTGGGCATCATTGCATCCCCAGACATTTCTCTGATGCTAGTCAAGGCTCCCAGTCCCTCCCATTACTTTTTTTTTTTTACTGGTGTTTTCGTTGTCTGCTTGAGAAGGTTTCTTCTTTGTGGGGGTACTGTCAGCTTTTTCTGTGCTTTATTTGTTTTTTTTTGGGTGCAGATGTTTTGCCTGTGGTTGGTTGTTCTAAGCACCACTAGTTTCTATGAAAAGTGTCTTTTGAGATACACTTTGAGATACACTATAGTTTCTTAGACTTCAAAAGTCCTCCCAGGGCCAAAATGTTGTTTGTGGCACTAAAAACTATTGAGTTTTTAAGATGTGAGAAAGTTGAGTCTGAAGGGCACACTCTTTGGGAGGTGTTCTTGAATTACTTTGCTCAAGAGGTAAAATGCATTATACTAGTAGTTACAGTTAGAAAGCAACATTGGGAATGAAATTAAGAAAGGTTGGATTTTGCAAGAAATTTTTCAAAAAGGATGGAGTGACAAGAAAACAGTATAATTGTGTCAGCTATGAAATTTACTGAGTGTGTGAGGAAATGTACAGCAATACTTCGTTCAGCTCCAGCCTATTTTGCCTGCTGGTGGACTCTGAATTTCACCATAGCTTCTCAAAAAGTCTTCTGTTAAAGAATTCTCTTCTTCTTACCTCTTTGGTAAGTGGTTATTAGGCATGAGAGGTGAATCAGATACTCTTGATGGGTTTCTTTAAAAAGAAACAGTTTCTCCCTAAGTGGAGAAAACAAGCAAAAACAATGCATCCAAAATCTTTTTTGAAAATGTCAGCTTTGTGATTAAAGTAATTAATTAAAATACTTCCTTTCCCCCTCTGTCACAACCTCTTCAACCTGTTACTTATGTTTAATATTAAAAAGACTTTTCAGTAACACACACAAACACATGTGTGTGTGCATGTAATACTGTTTATATACCATATGTATATGTTTCCCAGATATTTATTTATAGGTCATACAATCCAAAACAGAACTAAATTCACACAAGACAATTGATTTAAATGGGCTATTTAATTCTGTGCTGGAATACACATGGTGTTTAGTCAATGTTTGTGCAATTCTGCTCTTAATATATTTAAAGTAAGCTCTCTTTTTGTATTTAAAGCTGTCTTTTGGGGAGATATTGCCTTAGATGATGAAGACTTAAAAATGTTTCATATTGACAGAACAATTGATCTTACGCAACATTCAAATGAAAGACTTGGACATAATACAGGTAAGTTGCTAAATATTTTGGTTTATTAAAATGTAACCAGTGTTCCGTCATGAGCACTTGCAATAGATTTGTTTTCTTATGGAGCAAAAAATCCCATATGCATAAAGATATTTATTCAAAACATTTATGCCCCACCTTCATGTTGCATATAGCAATTGCCTACAATAAACACAACTATAATCACAGTACAGTATCGTAAAGCACAATTCAAAATGAGAGCTTGAGAAAGAATCAGTTTGAGAGATCGCAGTGATAAAGTCAGACAAGCACATAAGCTTGTTGGTATAAAATACTGTTTACACGTCATGGAAATGTCATCAGGGGTGGGGCAGGTTGATCTCTTGCAGCAGGAACTTGCAGAATCTAAGTGCTATGGAGAAGGCTATTCTGTTCCATACCTGCTAACTGAATTTCTGGTAGTGACCTCCCTCCTGTGACTTGAAGGTATGGGGAAGCTAATGAAGGTAGGAATGATCTTTTAGGTATTCTGATCCCACCCACTTCCCCAAAAATTCAGTCTTTCAAGAAAATAACCAGCACTTTGACAGTGATGTTGCTGTAACAATTCATTCAGATTAGCTGGCTCCAAGTGACTTTCCATCACCGAACATTTGATATAAATGGTTCAACCTTTACCTGACCATGGGCCTCGTTGTTTTGTTAATTCTGTGCTCCCTAGGTACAAAGACTAGGAATAAATCAGCATTTCTCCCAATGGAGTGGTGTAAAAAGTAGAGTTCTCCAAGGTTCAATATCAGGACCTGATCTTTTTAATTTCTTCATAAATGACTGGAAGTTAGGGGTGAGCAATAAGGTAACCAAGTTGGCTGGACTCACCAAAGTTCATACAAAACATTCTCCTTCTGAGTGTGTTGTCTGGGGATTGAGTGGAGACAAAAATGACCTTATATACCATGCCTACCACGTGCATAAGGACCAGGGAAAACATTATAGATACCTACAGGGCTTTCCATGGGAAGAAATGCTGAGAACAGTTTGTTAATGCACAGTACAGCTGTGTAAATATCCAGCTTACGTTAACAAGCCTGGGAAGTACAGTGTGATGATGAGGAAACTGCAGGCCATCCTTATTAGTGAGTGTCGACTGTAACGGAGAGGATCTGATCTATGCTGCACCCCAGATCTATGCAGAAGGAAGCAGAGAGCAGCTTGGATGAAATTCATATCCTCATTCCACTTTCCCATGACCTGCCAACGAAGTCTGTTTGGTGTGTGAAACAGAAACCAATTCTATTTCAAGCCAACCCCATACCTGATGGTTGATAAGGATATATGCACTATGCAATCCCTAGCTTTTTGTCCATACTTTAGACATGGGCAGGAGAATATATTTCTGTGTTTCTGCTTTGGAGAAGCTGTTGGATGCAGCATACCTACTTGAATCAGCCTGACAGCCTTTTAAGCACCAGTAAACCACAGAGCCTAGGACTTGCCGATCAGAAGGTCGGCGGTTCAAATCCCTGCGACAGGGTGAGCTCCTGTTGCTCAGTCCCAGCTCCTGCCAACCTAGCAGCTCGAAAGCACGAAGTGCAAGTAGATAAATAGGTACCGCTCCGGCGGGAAGGTAAACGGCGTTTCTGTGAGCTGCTCTGGTTCACCAGAAGCAGCTTAGTCAGCCTGGTCACATGACCCAGAAGCTGTACGCCGGCTCCCTTGGCCAATAAAGCGAGATGAGCACCGCAACCCTGGACCTAATGGTTCACAACTGGACCTAATGGTCAGGGGTCCCCTTACCTTTACCTTTAATAACCTCTGCAATTGGATCAATTTCCTTGGATAGAAACAGCGAAGGAAAATAATCTCAACTACGGTTCCATTCTACATACCTGTTTATAACTAAGGCAGAGCCCAAATTTTAAATGTTCAAACTATTGACTTGAATTAAATGAAAGAAATGAAAATGGATGGGCAAAACTGGGAACTTATTTCTGTGGTGGTGTCCTGCAGATCATAACCTAGAGCAGGGGAGGACCAGAGAAGCTCAACAGATGAGCAGGACCACGGATAGCTCCCTGTGGAGCTGTGTGCTTTCTGGCCAAAGCCAGGGCGGCACTTGAGACAGGATTTGGAAGGAAATTGCAGTCTTAAGTAGTCATGCTGCACCTATTATTCCTCTGCCCCTCTAAAGAATGGCTGGTAAAGAGGCTGCACACCCTATTATTCAGGTGCTGGCTGCAGTGGAGGAGGTGATCCTCCTGCTGCTCTTAGAGATGGCATGGAGGTCAAAACGGGTTTTCTTGCACTGTCAAGGATTCTCAGATTGGGGAGGGTAAGGCAGAGTTACCACCTTGTACAAGCAAAGACTGCTTGCTCTTGGGGCTCTTTTCCTGCGGGAACTGCTGGTAAGATGAAATCTTTTGTACACTTTCTGGGGATGATTCTACCCCCAAACTTCCCAGTCCTTGATGTCCTGTGCCCCTCCTTGAATAATGGTCGAGATAAATGGATTGACAAATTGGTAAAAACTAACTGGTAAGAGACTATGGGTTGTTGTTGTTTTGTTAGGTGCTTTTCTCGCTGTCTCTTTCTCTATTTTCCTTTTACATCAGTAGCACTTCTTTCAGATACCACCAGCTGCAAGTTGCTGTCTCCCATCCCCTGAATGTAGTGTTGACCAAAGCATGGATGCCACCATCTCCCATGCCTTTGAATGATAGGGACATTCTGGGGGGAAATGTCAGCCAATAAGAGCAGATTTCACTTACTTACTCACTTGCCAGCTTACATGCTATCCCTCCTTTCCTTCAAAGGAGCCCAGGGCAGCAAACACATTAAAACTAAAACAATGCAATTGAAACATTTAAAAACAACCTTCTAAAAGCAATCATCCGCTCTCAAATAATAACATCTGAGTTGCCAGGGACAGGCCTTTCAGCCATCAAATGCCTGGGATTTGGCATTGGGGGTAAGTTTGCTGTTCACCCCCGAAATTTGTCCCATGCCTGAAAAGCAGCGCCGTAATTTCCTATTAAAACCAATTCAGCCTCAAGTTTCTTCCCTCCTTTATGAGCTTTTTCCTTTACACCGTGGCTGGCTGGACAGTTCTGCATCACAACTGCCGCGTACGCAATGTTCTTCCCTGCCATACAGCCTTGAAACAAGTTACCTTTCATCCAAAGAGAACTGCTTAGGAGCGGTGCAACAAAGCACAGTCTTCGCCTTAAGATCTGAAGGTGTTTTTGTGCAATTCATAATAGATAGAGATTTGTTTCATCAGTTAAGTAATGCCAGAATGAGTTTTTAATAGAAAAAAATGCCCCGAGACAAATTCTTTAGAACTTCCATAATTATATCCCTGATTTATTAACATGAAATCTGCGTACAGCATGCAAACAATTATAAAGCACTAATCTGTGCTAACATGTTTACATTGTTAGCAGTGGAGTCTAATTCAAAGAAAATATATCTGTTTACTTCTCTGGGAAACACTTCCCACTGCTGCTGTGATGTCTTTTTATACTAACAACCATGTAACTGTTGACTCAGGACAGGACTTTGGGTCCCATTGAGAAGTGACACCCAAAATGTAGCAGGTCAGCTGCCTATTCCTGCATTGGAGAGGGTCAGACTAGATGTCCCTCAGGGTCACTTCCAGATCTATAAATCTATTATCTATTATCTATATTTTGAAGTAAGTGCAGTAGTACATATAATCATATAAAGAGGATGTAAGACTATTCAAAGTAGTAGTAGTAGTAATAGTAATAAATAAATAATAATAATAATAATAAAACTTATTAACTTATTCCCCGCCCATCTGGCTGGGTTTCCCCAGGCACTCTGGGTGGCTTCCAACAGGAGATTAAAAATACGTTAAAACATCAGTCATTAAAAAACTTCCCTATACAGGGCTGCCTTCAGATGTCTTCTAAATGTCATATAGTTTATTTCTTTGACATCTGGTGGGAGGGTGTTCCACAGGGCGGGCACCACTACCGAGAAGGCCCTCTGCCTGGTTCCCTGTAACTTGGCTTCTCACACTGAGGGAACCGCCAGAAGGCCCTCGGCGCTGGACCTCAGTGTCCAGGCCAAACAAAGTATGTGAAGTAGTGCACTTTCATATCTAAAGAGAGCCCACCTCCACTCCCCAATAAGACAGTTGTAGTATTTGTTGTTGTTTAGTCGTTTAGTCATGTCCGACTCTTCGTGACCCCATGGACCAGAGCACGCCAGGCACTTCTGTCTTCCACTACCTCCGCAGTTTGGTCAAACTCATGCTGGTAGCTTTGAGAACACTGTCCAACCATCCCTCGTCCTCTGTCATCCCCTTCTCCTTGTGCCCTCCGTCTTTCCCAACATCAGGGTCTTTTCCAGGGAGTCTTCTCTTCTCATGAGGTGGCCAAAGTATTGGAGTCTCAGCTTCACGATCTGTCCTTCCAGTGAGCACTCAGGGCTGATTTCCTTAAGAATGGATAAGTTTGATCTTCTTGCAGTCCATGGGACTCTCAAGAGTCTCCTCCAGCACCATAGAAGTTGTAGTATAAGATCACGTAACTATTCTGCTTGTCTCAGTTGCGATTCACCTGGAAGATGCTGGTGGTGGGGAGAAAGCACTTCGTTTTCTCCTCCTCCAGCCAAATGAGTTGCCAAATGACCAGGATTAAATAGCCTGACCTGCTCTTCCTTCTTTAACAGCACCATGATATTCAGAGATCAGAAAGTTTAGCTTTCTACAGCATGGGAGAGAAATATTATCACCTCAGAATATCTGCAACCTGCTGTTCAAAGCATAGCTGGAATTGCCAGTTCAATCCGTTTCCCCAGTCCATGGGCATTTTTTTTAAAAAAAGTAATTTTTAGAGTTCTGCCTTCTGGTCAATTAAAAATAATAATGAATGTACTATTTTTACACTTTCTCGTCATTTTTTTGCTTATCTTTCCTTAAAATCACCTGTTTGTTCTAAGTAGTAGAATCTTTTGATCTTTTTAAAGATCTGGATTTAAATGTTAATAGATTCAGTTAATTCCACCCACCCTCAGCACAACAAGTAGTTTTAATTAGCTTTGAACTGTTTCACAGCCTAATTTTGCTGACAGATAAACACAGCAAGGTGAATCACTTCTCAGACTTGAACATAAGTGATTATTTTGTTTAGCCTGCATTCTTGCTTTGGATTCACAAACATCTGAAAAACCAACACCTCTCAGATTAATATTCTTCATGTCTTTCTTGGGAAACATGCATGCTCACTGCCAGAAAAAGCAGAATATTATTCTTTAGGCAAAGTTATGTTATTTCAGGAAATGTTACTTTCTATAGCTGCATTACTATGACACATTGTAAAAAAGGGGAAATATTTAGAATCAGGGGGTTTTTCATTCTAATTCTTGAAGTAGATGTATTATATATTTTTAAATATGAACAACAATGCAGGTTTATCTGTACATTAATCTAACATTTCTTATAGAATTAAAATTTCATTTTTGGAATCTGAAGGTATGGGACTATTAATAAATTTGAGCAATGAACAACAAATGAAAATTATTGTTTTTAAGGCAGCAGTACTACTTACTTGAGAGCAAGCCCCATTGAACTCTATGGCACTTACATCTGAGTAGACCTATATGGAATTCCACTGTTAGCTAAGGATACTTACCGGTATCTCTTCTGTGTAGTTATTCACTTTCTTTCGTTGTGTTTGTTTTTTCATAAATAAAGTATTACATCAATGGGCAGTAAATGTTGGTGTGCTGTCTAGTACACTCTGGTGCTATAAAATATCTCATTCAGAAGGAATGTCTTAAAGTATTGTCTCATTCCCTTAAAATCTAAGCAAAAATTTGAGAATTTTTTCTTGAGGGCCGCTGCAGCTATGTGACAGTGTAAAGCAAATAATTACACAGATTATTGAGCAACCATGCAGCAAGCTTGCCTTTTATGGCACTGTGTACTTTGTAATATGTCTTTGAAGACTGCCATTTGGGAAGCTTGCGTGGAAACTGTATGTCAAAAGAATTCAGAGAATTGCTGAAATGGATAACCTATGTTTCATTGTACCACTTTACGCCTTAAAAAAAATAAAAAAAATCTTTCCAGTTCTTCTGTAACAAGCAGGAATAATGGTTCTTTAGTATTAGAATTTTTTTACAAATATCAATAATGGGGATTTTATGAAGTCACCCAAATGCCCTCTATACAGTGACGTTGCTGGTGATACATTTAATGCTTGAAGACAACTGCAGACAGACCGTTCAGAGGCAAAAGAAGTCAAACATAAATGCTATCAGAAGAGATCTGATTTTTGTGGCATGGTGAATATTGAGATAAAGGATCTGGCTGTTCCTGTAATTCATTTTTAGGACTCTATCCATCAGTTCCTCAGATATTAGTACTAGAGTTACTGGAGTATCTGATAACTTAGCATCCTTATATACCTTCCAGTCTTAGTAAAAACCACATGCATGTCAATAACTTTAAGTGTATCATAGTTTGACATCACACCTGGAGGTACACACTCTATTGTGAATTGCATCCAAGGTGAATTCAACTATCTTGTATTTTTTAAATCGTATGTTTTATCTGTCTCCTCAATACTCTTGGATACCTGTGCTTTATCCAAGTCTGTAGAATTGCGTATCTCTGAAATAAGAATAAAGTTTGCCATTCATAGTACTGAGACTTGTCAAGGCCCTGGGGGGAATTGGCAAATTGTAATTAGATGATGTAACTGTTGTAAATTGTTGAAATGCCAAAGTTATGCTGGCTGGCATTTTGGAATGCATGCTAAAAAAAACCAAAAACCTTATGACAACAAATTTGTTTTGGTTTCATTCTCAATAGAATGTTAATGGCCAAAAGAATGTTAAAGACACATTTCTTTAGCATCTCCTCACATTCAAAAAAATTATTTCCCCCCACCTCAGTTTTCTGTAAACTCGTGTGCTCGATGTATGTGTGCGGTTTCTCATTGAATATTCTTCTTTTAAAAGGTGGTTTTGGAGAGCGTGCAGTGTCAAAAAAAAGCGATGCCCTGTTTCAGCTTATAGACAGCATAAGAAGATTTGGCTCAGGTATTGTACTATTCCAGTGGGTAGATGTCCAGATTTTACAATGCCACTGAGTACTGTACGATTTGTCTCCATCACAATCCACAGAGGTGTGCACACTTTGATTTGCTAGCTCTTGCATGTACCAGCTTCCCTGAGATCAGTGGAGGCACACAAACTGCGTACAGATGGGGTTTCTCTATTGAGATCAATGGACAAGCTCTGGTGGATTAGGGAATTCTATATATGCTGTGAGTAAAAGAGACCCTAAAAAATAATAATGATTGGGCTGAACTGCTTAAGCCTAGTTTATGAGAAATGGGAAACTCTGAAAAGTGACTAAATTTATCCCAAAGTTCAAGTTTGACAGATCCTGTTTTATATTTAATTTCTGGAATCTTAATATGGAAGGCAAATCAAAATTACAATTACTGCTTGGTGCCTCTCAATAAATGACTTACTGTTCATTCATTGGGAAATGCAATAATATAGGTTGATATGGACACTGATACATTAGTTACAATGACTGAGATAAATTTGCATCCACCATTGAGGGAAAAAGTGGCGGGTGTCAAGGCTCAGAGAATACTATCCCTCCCCAAAGAAAAGTCCTTACCATGTAATTTATTCAGTATTCATACACAGAGAGAAAGGGGCATAGTCTCTATGCAATGATGGCATTACTCCAAGTAAAGTCCCATCCCACTTCGTCTCCTCTAATCTACATTATAATCTGAGCCTTCTGCCACTGAGCTCTCTGTTCTACTACTCTCAGCGCCCATCTGGTCCTGGGAGAAGGGGGGTCAGGAATGCATTCCAAGGGCATTGAGTCTGTCAGCTGTCTCCCCCCCCCCTTCTTGCTGTTCCTCTTCCAATATTTCCCAGCTTCTGCTCTCTGCAGCCTCTGAACTATGCCCTTCTGCAAACCACTGATCTAATCTATACTGTCCTCCTGTTCTCATTCCCCACCATTCCTCCTCAGTCCAGCCCCTGACATGGAGGGAAGTAGTTGCAGAATGAGGTGTCTACAGGAGAAGAGTTAGGATCCTCTTTCTGCCTTCCACCATCTCTCTTGCAAATTGTCCCCTGCAACAGAGAAGTGGCACCCAGGGTTTGGAAAAGTGACTTGGCTGTGTAACATCATGCAGCCCTGGTAGACTTAATTTGCCTGCCTTTTTTTAAATGCTTAAGTGCTTTTTATATAACAACATGTGTGAATCCTTATAAATAAAGATTCAGTTATACAACTGTATCTGACTAACCACTGCATTAAGGCAGAGTTTCATAGGACTGGCAACAGGATCCTGTGTGCCAGTTCAAGGAAGCTGTTCTGCTGTCTCAGGACTTGAACCCAGTTCCAAGTCTGGTACTATGGCACCAGCATGCCTGTTTTCCAGGGATTTTCCAAGCAGGTGCAAACAGGGACACATGGCAACGAAGACATGAGCTGCATGGTTGCATGGATTTGGCATTGGTGCATGATAAACAGCTCCATAGTATTGAGCTATTAGTTTGTTTCATTTTAAGCATTTGTTAATTCATGTTTGTCCATTGCATTGCAAGTCTGGGTACATATATATATATATATATGGGGGAAATCCTTCTATCTTTGAAGAAGATATTTTCATTAATGAAATTTTAAGCATTTTGTTCCATTTTCTATTATAAATATATTTGCAGGTTTTCAGCAAAATAATATAACAAAGGGAAGAGCTCTAACATTCTCAGGGAGCTATGAGAAGAAACGGTTTCCACGAGCAGCTACATCACGCACAGAACGGATATGGCCTGGGGGTGTCATTCCATATGTTATAGGTGGAAATTTTACTGGTAAGAAAGACAAAAGATACACTTTTATCCTTGAAGGAATTGACCCTTAGAATTAGTAGAATTTTTTAAAAATGAAACAGAGGTCTTGAAATGGATTCTCTCTTTCTTGTTTTCTAGGTGTCCTGGCTATATATTACAATAACAAACTCTGAAATAAACACATATTGTATAGTACAAGTGTCTTTATACAATTGTAGCTCCTTTAAAGCTTTCTATACAAATGCTTTAATCCCTAAAAATTAAATGTAACTTGAAAATGCTGTGAATCAAGTAGCACTCAAGTCACTAAGGTGCAGTGTGTGGTAGCAAACTAACTCAACTTTTCCTTTTATCATAATATCTTGAGATTCAGGTCAACTTAAATACACATACAGTTTAGCTTATACGAAAATGTTGCAGTTCCTGTGCTCAACGACTCCAAGACGCCTCTTTTCCACTGAAATAAATTCAATGTGCATTTCACATGGTTGGCTAAAAGAAATAGCGATACATCGCAATTAAATATCAGGAGAGCTTTCTAATATATTTTAAAGCATGTGTAACATGATAAAACAACACACAGGTTCTTATCCAGCAAGGGATATGCTCACAGAAACCTGCATCAACATGCATTTGCCCTCCAGGTGGATAGGAGCATGTGATGGTGGAAGGAGATAGGGAGAGAGAGGAATAAGGGCAATTTTCTTGCCAAAAAAGTATACTGGAACACAGATATACCTGATTATCTATCTCTGCTTCCCAATTAAAATACATAGTCTTTCTCAGTCAGAAATTTCTAATTTAAATGATACGGAATGGGAGCTAATTGTTTAGAACGAGTGATTGGGACCAGTCTTACTCCAAAATTATTGTATGCCAAAGGCAATGTACATCAGATTTGGCAAAAAAAAAAAAGAAGAAGAAAAAAGGCTCAGATAAAGGAGAGAGACTCCTATTAGTTGCCAAGCAAATGAAAAGTCCAGTCACTGTGTCAGCTCATCTACCTCTCTCATCTACTGCTCATTATCTCCTGGAATATTGTATTGAAATTTGTCCTGCATGGAATCATGCAGATGTGCTTGGCAAACCTGCATAGATTAGAGAGCTCAGAGCACTGTGTGTTCAGTAGCCCACTCTCTGTTCTGTTGGTATAGGTGGTTTTTGATACAAGACTGCCAAAGCAATGATCAGGTCCATGTGTGCAAGAAATTCTGTTGCAGCTTGTGTTATGCTTTTGTCAGGTCAGCTGTTTTTCCCCACACAAGCTATGCGTGCACACCATTAGGAAGAGAGGTCTGCACATAGCATGCCTATCGCACAAACCAACAGATGAAACAGTTGTGTGAGTCTACACTCTCTGAAGTTACACTCTGCTCATTCCTGTTTTTGGAATGCATGCACATTTTAGAGACAGCTGAAGAAATGTGAAAACACACGCAGGAGTGACCAGTCAGTAATGTCTCTGCATTCAAAGCATCCTGCAGATATTTCATTCTGCTGCCTATAGCTTAGTTCAGTGCTGTTTTTTCACATTGCTTTTAGCCTGTCAGTCTGACATTCCTATCAATGTAAATTTTTGTCTCTTGCATGCAAAGAAGACGACACAATGGCAGACTGTTTTCGTATCAGTAGCATCTAATGCAGGAGCTTTTAAACCTCCAGATGTTGCTGGTCTCCACCTCCAATGAGACTTAGCTAACATGGCCCTGGATAATGGGAGTTGTACTTCAGCCACCATCTGGAGGACCCCAAGTTCTCTTCCCCTGACCCAACGGACTAATACTGAGGTCCCAGTACAACAATAAAGAAACCAAACATCATGGCTTCTCAACATGCAGCACACCTGCACCAGTTGGAACTCACTAACCTAAGCCATTCCAGGTGTGATGTTCCAACAGTGGCTCAATAAACCTCTTCTGCTGCTTGCCTTGCACTGTAAAATGGGGTGGGGGTGGGCAGGGCGTTGCTATTATTTACCACAAATTAAAACACATTACAACAGATTAAAGTAACTTAAAATCACAAAAATGGGATAGGTCATAAAATATACATCAAGAACTCTACCATCAGCATTCTCCAAGAACTCTGTAGTGAAGGAGCTAGATATTTTGTGGTTTTATATTTTGATTTTATTCTGTGAACTGCCTTGAGACTTTCAGGTATATGGCGGTATATAAATAATAATAATAATAATAATAATAATAATAATAATAATAATAATAATACCACCTTTGTGGAGAGTGAGTTCCACAACTTAGGGGCTTGCATAGACAATATGTTATCAAACGTTTGACAAGATGTGAGTGATGGACTGTGTCTTTGCATTTCTGGGTCACAGGATGTTCAAACCTGGGGTGAAGAGTCGATCTGACATTTCACCCATTTCTTTCTGAACACAAGGTTGTATCTACTGGTGGCTTTGTGCTAAAGGAAGCACTTCCACTCATGTAACTTAACACACCCATTTTTATCAATCCCTCCTACCAGTTGCAGCCCTCTATGCCATATCCTGTGCTGTTCTAGAGGATCCCCCAGCTGTCAAGCGTAGCTTTTGAATAGGATAGGATGACAAGAAAATCACTTCTGCTAGCACAAAGCCACTGTTGGATATAACTTAGAAGTAATGAAAAAGTGTAATGTTATGAATTCACCTTGTAGGATTTGTGTGCATATTGGGGTACATTTTGGAAAATGTTGCCTTTGCTGTGCGAAGTTTATACTATTTGCCAGTCACTGTTTTCATTGCTTATTTCCCAAAACCCGCATCCAGTATTAGTTTGCACTTGAAACACTCTTGCTTGTTTCAAGTGCGAGTGTTTTCCCCCCAAAACCATCAAATTTACTTGAATGCTGTTGGCGTGAAACAGGATACATTTTTTCTCTCTAAAAATCATTTCTGTATTTCATTGCAAACATTGATTCCAGGCAGTCAACGAGCAATGTTCAAGCAGGCAATGCGGCATTGGGAAAAATATACCTGTGTTACATTCATTGAGCGAAGTGACGAAGAAAGTTACATTGTGTTTACATACAGGCCTTGTGGGTAAGTTGGTGTGAAAGTATGCTTGATGTACTCATGTGGTATGCTTAGAAGCACACAACTGAAACAGATGAGAAGATCGTCCAGCCTCTTGCTGCAAGGCACACAGATCTACACTCTCTGCCTTGATCACAGTGCGCCAGTTGAGATGGTGCACTGCAGAAAGTTATGCGTAGAGCAAATTGCTTCAGTTGACTCAAGCAAGTGAGATGTCTTAGGGGAAAGCCAAGTCCTTTCAAAAAGTATGTGTACGTGCTTGTGTGTATTTTAAATTTAAAAGATATTTACAATGATCCCCTCTTTGTGTATTGAAAATCAATTTGCAGCATCGCCTTCTTTGCAAATGTGCATCGTACATGCACATGGTACATGAGAAGAGTTTTATTACTATTTATCTGAAGCCAGATATAAAAAGTATAAAGTAAACTCAAGACCCATGTCTGAGGTTTTTCAAGTATGCAAATGCTCTACATGTATGTGGAGCTTCCATGTGTGACTTTACCATTCATTGCAACACTTGAAACAGTTTTCTACATGTATCCTGTTGTATGTACAAAGCTACCTCAGAATTTGCAGAAATTGAAGTTTCTGTGTCGTTTGAAAGTTTTATAGACACCAACTGGTAAACATACAAAGCTCTGAATAAGGCTCACAGTAGTCATTTGGTGTATGTAATCAGCTTTCCGTAATTAAATATGGCTTTATAGTGGGCGGGGAAATCAGTTAGTGGATCTGAGACACATTTATCAGTATTGTAAGCATACATACACTTTGAAGTCAATTCTGTTGAAAATGAAACTTTGTCATCCCCCATGTGGTCTACACTTAGCTCTCCTGCATGTTTTTGTAGGAAATCTTTAAACCTTGTCAAAGTCAGTGTTATTGTTGTATTACACAACACAAAGGTAAAGGTACCCTTGACCATTAGGTCAGGGGTACCTGACCTGTCTGCTGTCTGCGTTTGTCCGCAGACAGCTTCTGGGTCATGTGGCCAGCATGACTAAGCCGCTTCTGGCGAAACCAGAGCAGCGCACGGAAACGCCGTTTACCTTCCCACCGGAGTGGTACCTATTTATCTACTTGCACTTGATGTGCTTTTGAACTGCTAGGTGGGCATGAGCTGGGACCGAGCAAAAGGAGCTCACCCCATCACGGGGATTCAAAATGGCGACCTTCCAATTGGCAAGCCCTAGGCTCTGTGGTTTAGACCACAGCGGCACCCGCGTTCCCTTTTCTTACACATATTGCAGCATATAATGCTGGTTACAAAATAATGGATGTGTGATGGCACCCTGTGTTGTAATGAGCATTTGTGTCAAAACTAGTTCAAGACTGTGGTACTCATAGTTGTTATTAGGGCAACTACCCTGCAATGTATACCACATGTGTATTAGATAACCTGCTTGCTGCAAGGATATAAAGAGCTAGTCCCTTGCAACCCTATCTGGTAGGCTTACCTAGTGGGATTATAGTTTTTCTCTCCTATTTGAATGGCAAACCTTGTGTCATATCACAATGGCTTTGAACCCCTCCTTGCTTTCAGGAGGTTTGCCATGTAACATGCAGGGCTGGCTGTTTGAAAAAGCTCTTCGCTTTGCAGAACTAGTTGCATAGTTCTTAGTATCCAGGTCTCATGTTCAGTGGAATCTAAGATATGGTGCACTCTCTGAGTCCTCTCCAAGGTAAATAGGAATTCTAGTGCCACCTTTGAATAATTTTGATTTAGAAGTTGAAACCATGGGGGGGGGGTTCATTAATAGTCTCTGCCTCTCAATGATAATTACTTAGACAGAGGAACAGGGGAACTGTGATCCTGTTGTTTCTTCTCAATCTCTCAGTGACTTTCAATACCATTGCCCAGAGTATCATCTGGACTATCTTTTTGTGTTGGGAGGGGGGCACTCTTTTATAGTGGCTCTACTGCTACTTGTGGGGCCAGGTTCAGTGAGTTGCACTGGCTAACTATGAATCGTAGCCGGCTTAGTTTTACTCAGAGTAGACCCAATGAAATTCCTTAACCTAAATTAGTCATGTCATTAATTTCAATAAGTCTCCTCTGGCTGTGACTAATATTAGATATATATTAGATATAACCCTATGTGCCTGCCACCTGGCAATTATGTTGTGTGATGCCTCAGGGCACTATTTTATCTCCAGTGCTTTTCAACATCTATATGAAACTCTTGAGAGCCATTATTAGGAGATTTGGGTTGCAGTGTTAATACTTACAAACCCTCCAAAGGTCAGATTCATGTGCTTTCCCATACAGTAACAAGAAAACACAGGCAGCAAAACTTAGTTCCAAAAAGTGGTAAAAAGTTTCTAAATTATTTATATAGAAACACAATGATGACTTGCTAAAGCCACACGGTCTGGGCTTAGAGCGATTATCTCAGACGTCCTTTCTGGTTGGATTCACATGGTGGAAGAGAGAGGAAACAAGGTTTTTGGTAAACTTTCATCCCAAGGTGAGGGGGTGTGACTTAGTTAAGTCTGACAGAACTGTGTACTCTATGGCCTTAACCCCTTCATCCATTAAGTAGAGCTAAGCATGCTGGTTATAGGAGACTGATACTTATCCCACATATTTGTCACTAGAGGCTCAAATCACCTTGATGGAGGGAGTTCCTATAACCAACTTCAGGTGATGTTTTTATCAGGACAAGGATACCCTAGCCACTGTGGTTCATGTGTTGGTAACCTCACATCTGGATTATTGTAATGTGTTTGGGATTAGTTCGGAAGCTGTAGCTAGTACAGAATCTGGCAGTAATGCTTGTTCATGCACATGCTGTATCTATTCTAAAAGTGCTGCACTATCTGCCTGTTAGGTACAGAGCCATTTTCAAAGTTTTGTTGGTGGCATAGAATGCCCTAAATAACTCAGGACCATGATACCTGAATGGCCACCTCTCCCTGCTGAGAGCCTAGGGGCCCTTCTCCTGCCTCAATCCACCTGGCCCAGGGCGGGGCCTGGCAAGTTTTATAAAGACTGGTGCTGCTGCTCAGCAGAGAGGGCTTCTTCCTTTAAATTGCTTTTAAATTGTTTTTTATATCATTTAATATTCTTTTTTTAGTGTAAGGGCATTTTGTGGGATGTGCCTGGGAGGAAAGGAGTGGGGGAGAGCAGTGGGAGGCCCAGTTACAGTGGTTCTGGGTGGGAGGAGGTATGGTGTGGGAAGAGGGGGAGGCCAGGTAGGGGGCAGCCGGCACAGGCTGTTAGTGACTGTGCCATGTGCCAGCCCCTCCAGTCTGCAACTGCTGCTGTTGAATGCCAGGTATGAGGAGATTTCACCCCTCCCATACCCAAGAATCTCCTGACCATCTCCTGATGATTCCTGCTGACTCTCCACAGAGAAGAGGAGGCGTGTCCTGCCTATTAACTTATTCTGCCCAGCAACATATCTGTGTGTGTGTGAGAGAGTCAGTCAGTCAGTGTATCGGAGAGAGTGAGAGTGTTAGAGATCCTAGAGATTAGATTGCTGCTAAGAGCAGCTGCAGACTCTCAGTATAGCATTGCTTTATGCTCAGAAGATTTAGCTCTGTATATAGTTTTGTACCATAGTTGTAGTTATAGAATAAAGGAAGGTATTTTACAGAGCTGCTCTCCGAGTGGTTTATACTCTGCAAGACTCTGCGAAACTCTGCTGCGCAACGACTGAATTGTTGAGACAGTGAATCCGGTGCTCTCAGCTCTAAGCTGTGAGTCCACAGCACTGTGACCGTTTCCTGCGGGAAGGAGGTCTCTGGCGGTGCTACCCAGCTCGCCCAGCCCAGTCGGGGTTGAGGTACATGAGTCCAGTTGGCGCACTGGCTCTCTAGGGTGATGCTGACATCGGTTACGGGCCCAGTCGTTGTTCCAGTCATCCCAGTCGTCCCAGTCGTCCCAGTCGCCAGAGGTTTCTGTTGCTGTTTGCTGGACGGTGGAACGGACGCTGCATGCTGGACTGATTTGTGGTGCCTAGAAGCAGAGCTGTGTTGGAGCAGAGTGTTCAAGCTGCCGCTGTTGCTGTTGCTGCTGCTTGATTTATGGAGGTATGTTGCTGACTGCCAAAGAAAGAAGATAGCATCCCTGTTTGCCTGTTAATTGCGCTCTGAGTGGGGGAGAGAGTGGCTGAAGAAGTCCAAGGCTTTATCTGTGTTGCACGAGGGAAGTGTCTTGCTCTAAGTAATAGCAGACATGGCCTGTGCACATTCTGGCCAGATGGCTCTGTCCTTTCCCCTCCTCACGCCTGAAAACTATGGAGTTTGGCAAGTTAAGATGAAAGCACTTTTACAGAGGGAAAAGCTATTTCACACCATAGAAGATGACCCTCCAGATAAAGATGATGATGATTGGGCTGAGTGGCATGCTGCAGATATGAGAGCCCGAGGGACAATTGTTTTGAGTGTTTCAGACCACTTGCTGGTAAACTTAGAGGGTCAAGAGACTGCACAAGCTGTTTGGCATAAGTTGAGAGATATGCATCTGAGACAAAATGCTGGTTCCAGTGTGATTTTCTTTAAGAAGCTGTGCAGGCTGCAGTTGGAGAAAGGTGGTGATTTGCCTAGCCATCTATCTCAGTTAAAGCGTCTCAGACAAGACCTTGTTCAGCGAGACCTGAATATTTCAGAGGCTGTGTTTGCAATGCTGATGATAAATAGCCTAGATGATTCTTATGATGGAGTAGCTGCTCAGATTTCTACAATGCCTTCAGACCGGCTAACAGAAGATTATGTGTCTAGCGTGCTCTTGAATGAGTGGGATCGCAGACAGGCTGTTAGAGAAAGCCGGGACAATGGTGCTGTTAAAAATGTGCTTGAAAATGTGCCTGAGTCTTCAGCAGGGGAAAGTGAAAGTGAAACTGCTGCTGTTAAAGCACTAAAGTTGAAGCGGTGCTTTTCATGTGGAGCACAAGGCCATTTGAGTTTCCAGTGCAAGAAGTCTTTAAAGAAGAAGGGAAACTTCAGAGGCAGAGGGGGAGGAGGAAGAAATCCCCAAGCACCTGCTACTTCAAAGGCCT